ATGAAATTTAAATAAAATTAAATCTATCACATTTCAAATTGATCTGATGGGTTATATTGTGAGAGAAAAAAAAACTCGAAGAGTATCGACATCTATGAAAATCGGGTTCTATCTCATGTACAGAAGTGCTAGTTCTGTTTTAGAATTTAAACATTCATCTAAAATTATAATACATGAAGGTTTCTTCTATGAATTCCACTCGCATTGTCGTTATATTATACTAAGAGTCAGATAAACCTTACCTATAAAATTTTGTCCTCGTAAAATTATATGAGGTAATTTTTTTTCTTCAACTGTTTCATTGTAAGTCCATGGTAGTTTGATGTTTTGCAGTGCGGTATACACAATTGCCTGAACAAATATTCCACCTGCTTTGAAAAAGTCGGAAGATACAAGGTGCATATGTTGAAAAGAAACTGCATGACACCATAGCAACGACGAAAGACAAACCAAAACCGGTCCACAAAATACTACATGGGAAAACTAACGACTGAACAACACTAACCCCAGCAAAAACTAGTGTCATCTCATGTGCTCCGGAAGAGTAAACATATCCTGCTCCACTATGTAGCACGTTGGACTTACTAAACGGCGGAAAATAACCAATACGGACTACAACAACAATAGTTGATATGTAATCACTGTGCAAAAAGATGAATGCATCACATTTTTTCTTTTTTAATTTCAAACTGGCAATACCACATATATAGTAAACTATACAACGAATATTAATCAATTATAGAAGAGCCACTGACATATATTAACATATAGTATCACGATGTTTGAAAAATGCATAGTGTATGTTGAAGATAAAACAAATCATCACATATATTTACATTTTCCCAACAAAAATATCTCTTTACCACGTATATCATCATTACAACCCATATATAACGTTGACCACTGCATAAATAAAACAAAACCAGCAAAACAATAAAAAGAACAAACGCTATACATACTGTCCATACTTAAGGCTAATTTATGGCCATACAATTTCATATTGAATATTCAACAATTAACTATATATATACTGAAAAATACAAAGATGATGATTATATAAATATTATTTAAAGAGTGCTTTCTTTGACCCTTATTCGATGTCCCAATTACAAATGTAGAATTATGCACGCTGCCAATCGTTAAACTTTGTTGGTACTTTTTGAACCGTAAATTGGTTGTCGTTCTTTATAATAAATATTTACGTAAAAAAGTTAAGTAATATTTAATCGCTTTATTTATCCAAAAGTTTATCACAATAGTTACAATATACGTGTACATAAAGGGCTAAGGAAAACAGGTGGGTGGATTAAAAACAAACCGAAGAAATGTTAGTCGAAATAAATGGTGTTAATCGGAATAAATGGTTTACTATTTATCTTTGAATTCAATAATACTGTAAGTTTATCAAGCATTCTGCAGTCAGAAAATCCCTTGTAACCGAAGAAAATCGATAAGTGCTACATTGTATTGTAGTTTTTATGTTTTATGATTTGTTGAAGGGTGTTGTCATCGTATATTTTCCCGTCCTAACAGACGTTCCTCTAGAACCTTTTGTTATAAACAATACCGTTTTGAACAAATATTCGATATCCTTTTTTCCGTCAGGAACAAATACTGTAATATTTCATCCAGTGGAAATAATGTTCCAGAATATACTTCTATTTGGACCTAATATTATATTTAGAAACCTCTATTTCATAACAGGGTGTGGTTGTGACGGAATAAAAGTTCCACCATTCTTTGGAACAAATATTATGAAGGAACTACTATTTCATGACACTATAATATCATGAAATAGAAGCTCCTTCATAATATAAGTTCCAAGTGGTAGACAAATTCTGTTATATTATTTCCACTGGAACAAATGTTACAGAATTTGTTCCTTACGGAATAAATGGCATAGAATATTTGTTCCAACAGGAACAGATAGCATGACATTGTTTATAACAAAGTTTCCAGGGGGACTTCTGTTAGGCGGAACAAATATACTTTGACAATAACACTTAAAATATCAATATGAGATTTGATATATTTTTATTACATATTGACAAAATTTATGTTTATCACGTAAACAAACAGAAACAGATTACATTCCACGAATAGATATACAAGATAGTAAATGGAAGTTCAATGACAAAATAATTATTTTCTAACGAAGGTGTGTATATAAATATTCGTGTCGGAATAATTATTATGAAAAAGAAGTTCCTGGAATATTTAGTATGTATCAAAATTTCAAGAAGTATTTATGATGTAAGAGATTTTATAGGAATACTCAATATGTATACGGGTATTCCAGACCTCATTATCTTTAAGAGATAAATGTTGCTTTTTTTAATTCAAAACGTTTTATTATACAAATATCAAATGTACATTTAAACAAAAGGATGGGACAAAAGCCAAAGCATATACAAATACTTTGCCATACAAGTTGGATTGAATAATTTAATAGTATATAATATATTTCTGATAATTAATAGATCAGTCATTATTGCAGTGAGTCAGGGGAGGCAACCCACCCACTTCTTGAAATATTTTATTGGGTATGCATATATAATAAATAATTATCAGTGAACCCTTGCCAGTTCACTACAATAGTTACTTTGTAACGAATTTCCATGAATTCAATCCATGTATAGAAAAACAGAAAGGTCACATTAAATATAGGGAAGTTATCAGAATAAGTTTAATATATGCATTTGTCATTAAAGTTCCTTTGTTGTATTTCTCAGAAACCATGTTTAATCTTGAAAAGTTTCATATATATGTATAAAGTTTCTCTATTCAAAATGGGCACTGAGGTGTAAACACTGTCGTGATATACATTTATCCTTTATAATAATCTTTAAATATCAGTCTACTGTAACAGTATAATTTACAGTCATTCTGGGAACAAACTAAACTGTGTGAGGCTTTATGTCCCAGGAAATTATTTTATGAAGAAAGAAAAGAATAAATATCATACAGTTTTAGTTCTCAAGAACTTTTGTTATCTACCATTTTGTTCCAATTGGACATATATTATGCAGAAAAAAATAAACAGTTATATGGTGAGATCTTTGAACTATAAAATTAATAATACATAGACGGTTGCCGTGCTTGTTTTTAAGAAAATGAGGCTCAATATTCAGTATATATGTATTTGGAATTTCGTTGAAATTTTTTTGACGACTTAAATATTTTTTTTTAAATGAAAACCAAATTGTACAAAATTGGTAAATTTACAGACCTTTGATTAGAAGTTTTAAAATGTCCGTGTCATTTTTCCTGATTGAAATCAAAACATTAAAGGTATGTGTTACCGCGCTTCATTATAAAAACAACTCAACTGTTATTCCTAAAAATGTGCTTATATTATTGTCGCATCATTATTTGAAAAAAAACAATGCCATCTCGCGCTCAATTTGAAAAGCGGGCAATAATTCTGACAAAATACAAATATATTGACTGTCGTTTCAAAACATTTCCTTTTAACTCATTTGGTGGATAATTTTGCGCAATTTGCTAGTTTTTATACGACCGCAAAAAATTTTGCGGTCGTATATTGGTATCACGTCGTCGTCGTCAGCGTCGTCCAAAGACAGTTGGTTTCCGGACAATAACTTTAGTACAATTCAATAGAAATCTATGAAATTTAAACACAAGGTTTATAACCACCAAAGGAAGGTTGGGATTGATTTTGGGGGTTATGGTTTTAACAGTTTAGGAATTAGGGGCCAAAGAGGGGCCCAAATAAGCATTTTTCTAGTTTCCAGACAATAACTTGATGAACGGTGTATGGATCTCTCTGAAATTATACCACAAGTTTCCATACCACAAAGGGATGGTTAGGATTTGCTTTGGGGGGTTATGGCTCAAACCGTTTAGGAATTAGGGACAAAAAAGGTGAAAAAAGGGTTTCCTGGTTAATGGACAATTACTTAAGACAATTTAAAAGCAGTGTAAGGGAGGTAATCCAAACATAACGTTTTGATTACCTCCCTTACACTGCTTTTCAATTATGTATAAAGAAATGTTGTCTTGTCTTGAGATGATTAGCTGTCAATTTATTTTTAGAAGTTACTATTAAGGAATATTAATTTTAGCCATGATTATGTATGTCATTTTCTATTTTAAGACTTTTATGATGTATTTAAATGGGTAATTATGGTTGCAAACTCCATTTGAAATTTGAATTGAGATTATGACCATATCTTGAGGGAAAGAATTTTTTTTGGGGGGAAAAGGGGGGGGGGGGGGATTTTTTCTCATTTCAGATTTCAGAAATTAAAAAGAAAAATTCTTCAAATATTATTTTTTTTGCCAAAAAAAAAGTGGGGGGGGGGGGAGGTCAATACACAACATCATAGTGTATTGCACAAAAGCAAAAAAAAAAGGGGGGGTACATTTTTTTTTTGTGGGGGGAAGGGGGGGGGGGTCAATTCGCAACAGCAAAGTGTATTGCACAAAAGCAAAAATATAAATTCAAATCATATAACCAATTCTAAGTTCTTTGACTAGTTATTCTGTGTCAGAAACCTATTATGTGTCAAATATTTAATTACAATCCAAATTCAGACCTGAATCAAGCGCGAATATTGTGTACATTTTTGCCCCAACTGTTTAGGGTTGGACCTCTGCGGCCGTATCCAGCTGCGGTCGGCGAAGCAATTTATTAATCTATGTGATTAGATTTCGTTATTATGATATCATAATCATCTTAACAAAACCTGGCGAACGTGCATTATCGCGCTTACCGGTATCTCCCCTAAAAATGTATGTCAACTAATCTGCAATACCTGGTACTTGTACTCTATTTTTAGTTATTGGTCCTAGTTGATACACAGTCAAACTCATTATATGATGAAGTCGCAATTAAAATAAGTTAAAGGTTGAGTGCAAATCGTTGAATTTACAGTTGAGCTTTGTTTATACTGAGATCTCATTGTTACACAGTTGCATTTTTAATAATTTATAGTTATTGATCATCAGCCCACGTGATACCATAATTTTGTTTTGACCACGTGGTGTTTTGCTTTAGCAGGAAATGTTTAGATGATTAATATATTAAGTTGAAATAGGAAGTAATGACATGGTTTATATTTCAAGATTCTTTCTGTTTTTCCCATTTCCATAATGTGTGTTTGAAGCACGTCTTATTGGACGAACACAACACCGTACTTTACTACTTGATCTCACCAATCATTACGTAATACACTATGTGTGAAGATAGTGTTAATCTGACCTGAATGTTAAAAGTATTGGATTAGTAAAGATAAACAATACTTATAAGTGAGTATGAATAATATAACTTATGATCAATCATTGAAATCAATGGTCTTGCCTTTCATCGTATGTATCATATTTCAGTATAGTAAGCTACTTTCTATTTGATTATAGTATTTCACAAAACACACTCATACATATGCATGTTTTTAAATTGATTAGAACAAACATAAATGTGCGAATTTTTCACTTGAATTGTTAAGAACAAATTAATATGCGTGTGTTTGTAAAATATAATTCAATTGAAAGTAACTTATTGATCTTAAATATTGTATTATAGAACAATGAAATATTTAGATACGTTAGGGTCGAACCTTTTGTTTTCGTGAATGCATGTTTTATATTGCAGACGACATTTCGCTATTAATCCGGTATTAACTGGTCGGCAGATATTAAACTTATTTAAGGTAAACAGTCGATACATGTTTCTATATTGATTACCTCGTTAAACACTGATTAAAAAAGGATAGATTTCATAATCATCCGATTTATAAAAAGATATCTGTAAAATTATGGTATTTAGAAAATAAAATCTTTCGTTATTTATTGAGAAACTAGTTTAAATATGTTAATATTAGTGTTCCTTATAGATAGTTCCGTATAACATTTCCCAGAAAATCGACCAATTTTCAATATGTACGGTGAGGGAACCCACATTAATTTTGAACCTATTTAGAAACAGGCAACAGTTTCCATTCTGTCTTTATTTTGTAGATTTATCCTTATTTCTTAGTAGAGGGTCTAAATACAGCACAAACATCATTTTGCAAAAGACCAAAAAAGTGAAAAAGTATATTTTAACAAAACGCATTTGACTAGCAGGTCGAACAACTGATGCTCTTAAACCCTGCTGAGTGCCATTGGCGATTGCCAAATAAACGGATCACAAGATGTAACAAAATGGATCTTCATTATTAATTTAATACCAAACAGAAAACAATAAACTTGCGGAAAAGATGGTATACCGCAAACATGAGGTGCAAAAATGTGTACACCGTATCCGGATATATATATATATATATATACATAGATCTACTCTTAACATTTTAGGCTGATTTTCTAGGCACTTTATATTTTATATATATATATATAAAGTGCCTAGAAAATAAACCTAACGATGTTAGAGTAGATCTGTTTCTTTACTTCCTCCCCGAGCGGGGCTGGAACCTGTACTTTTTATTTCTAACTTCTACGACAACACCGCCTAGCATTGCGCAGACACCTTATCCCCTCCTATATATATGTTGTGTACAAGTTATCATTTTGTACAAATTATAATTTGTACAAAAAAATTGTACAAATTATAATTTGTATTTTGACTTTGTACAAATTGTAATTTGTACAAAAAGTGCTTGTACAAATTACAATTTGTACAAAATTCGACTAAAATTCAATTATAACTTGTACAATAATTTATAGTATGGATTTTGTATTAAAAAAAGCATTGATACACACTATAGAATTTTTATTCAATGACCACACAATAAACCTTATTTACAAAATACAAAAATACCCAGATGGAGACAGGAAATGTAATTGATACATGTATGCCAGTCTATTCTGATAGTATAATAGAAATTTGCCCAAGTGACAATTCTAATAGAATATTAGAAATTGGCCCGAGTGAAAATCAGGATGACGCTGACGTTGAAACACCAACTATACGTGCCAGGAAGCGTGCGCTGTCTGGCAAAGAGATCCAAGCAGAATGTCTAACCAAGAAAACGAAACGGAAATTATCAGAACTTGCCTAGGGGGATAATGTCATTATACCAATTCCTCAGTATGATTGCGCCCCAACTGATCCTTGAAATATCTTAGGTGTACTTATTGAATCTGGAGAATTTGGGTACCGAATTGGAACAGTTGTAGGAATTTTAACACGATATTTGTCGAGATATCAAATTGAAGCTGTTAAAGACACAAATTTATTCGCAGGAACGGTTCCTGAGCTTCAACTTTAGCTACGTGAAACAATTAAAATGCTTTCAAAAACTGGTGGTCAGTGGGTTTCTTTCATGTAAATGCAAAGGGGTGCAGCACTTCTAAATGTAAATGTAAAAAGCAAAAGATGTTGTGCCATTCCCGATGCCATAATTCACTCACGTGCTCAAACAAATGATACAGAACTATTTTTGTATTTTTGTAAAAAAAGGCTTATTGTGTGGTCTGAATCAAAATTCTATAGTGCGTATCAATGCTTTTTTATAACAAAATCCATACTATAAATTATTGTACAAGTTATAAGTGAATTTTAGTCAAAATTTTATACAAATTATAATTTGTACAAGCCCTTTTTGTACAAATTACAATATGTACAAAGTAAAAATACAAATTATAATGTGTACAATTTTTTTTGTACACATTATAATTTGTACAAAATGATAACTTGTACACAACATATATATAAACAAGTCTAAATTGAAAACAACGTTCAAACCTATGATTGCGTTGGATAAAAACCGCAATTTTTATACGTGTGCATGCAAAACAAATTTATTGGTAGAGGGGTCTAAATACAGCACAAACAACATTTTCCAAAAGACCAAATGAGTGAAAAAGTATATTTTAACAAAACGCATTTGACTAGCAGGTTGCCAAATAAACGGATCACAAGATGTAACAAAATAGATCCATATGTTGAAAGATGTGCTCTTTGACAAATGATAAAATAACGAATTGTTTAGTCCCTAAGAAAACCTATTAGATTTTCGTCGCTGTTTTGAAAATTGGGTATATACTCGGTACATTTTGGTACTGTGACGTTATGATTTCAAGAAGACCGGTTACTGAGTTTTTTTTTCTGTTGTATTCTTTCAGATATGATGAAATAAAGTTATGAAGTCTAAACCTTATTAATTATAATAGCCATTTACTGATTTCAAATACAAAAGTTATTAATTTACATTGACATAACTTCTATGTTATTTGGTCTCTGGTAAAGAGTTGTCTCATTGGAAATCATACCGCATCTTCTTATTTTTATACGCCCGTTTACGGGACGTATTATGGTATACCCTTGTCCGTCTGTCCGTCTGTCTGTCCGTCTGTCCGTCCGTCGTCAACATGTCGGACATTAACTCAAAAATGCTTTAACCAATTTGCATAAAACTTTGGTGAATTGTTTATATCTATTGACGTGAGCTCCCTTTCGTTTTTTATAATTTTAGATTTTACGTTTCCGAGTTATGGGGTTTTATTCATTAAATAAAGGGGGAGTTTCCAGTTTTCGGACAATAACTCAAGAATGCTTTCATCAACTTGCAAGAAATTGTGGTGAATTGTTTATATCTATTGACATGAGCTCCCTTTCGATTTTTATATATTTTAGATTTTACGTTTCCGAGTTACAGGGTTTTATTCATAAAAAAGGGGGATTTTCCAGTTTTCGAACAAAAAATCAAAAATGCTGTCAGCAATTCTCATGAAACTTTGGTGAACTGTTTCTATCTATTGATGTAAGCTCCCTTTACATTTTCATAAATTTCTAATATGACATTGAGAATTAATTGAACTTTATTTGTTTATAGTCTGACAACAGATTTGCTAAGTATTGCACAACAGCACAGTGTATTGCACAACAGCAAGAAATCTTTAATTGAATATAAATTCAACTCATATAACCAATTTCAAGTTCTTTGACTACATTTATTCAGAAACCTATTATATGTCAAATATTTAATACAATCCAAATACTGACCTGTATCAAGCTTGAATATTGTGTCCATTTTTGCCCCAACTGTTCAGGGTTGGACCTCTGCGGGCGTATCCAGCTGCGCTCAGCGAAGCAGTTTATTGTATTTAGTAAATATTTCAATATTAGAGTTAAGACTTATTCTTGGTCAGTCTATTAAGGTAAATCATAATGCCGAAAATATTCCTGATACTGTATATATCATTCATTATTGCAGTGAGTCAGGGGAGGCAACCCACCCACTTCGTAAAATATTTTGTTGGGTATGCATATATAATAAATAATTATCAGTGAATCCTTGCCAGTTCAATACAATAGTTACTTTGTAACAAATTTCCATGAATTCAATCCATGTATAGAACATGTAGAAAAAACAGAATGGTAACATTAAATATAGGGTAGTTAACAGAATAAGTATAATATATGCATTTGTCATTAAAGTTCCTTTGTTGTATTTCTCAGAAACCATGTTTATTCTTGAAAAGTTTCATGTATGTTTAAAGTTTCACTATTCAAAATGGGCACTGACATGACTGAGGTGTAAAAATTGTCGTGATATATACATTAATTTTTTTTATTATGACCTTTAGATATCAGTCTACAGTATACTTTCCAGTCATTCTAGGATCAAACTAAATTTTGTTGGGCTTCACGTTCGAGGAAATTATTTTTTGAAGAAATATATATGAAATGGATAAAGACATATTTTTGACAATATTAGAGTCAAGACTTATCCTTCGTCAGTCTCTTTATGTAAAACATAATACCGAAAATGTACTAAATAACCCTAGAATTGAGAAAGGAAACGGTGAATGTGTCAATGTATGCTAGTTCAGCGAAATGGACGCCACACTAAACTCCGAAACATATAAATGAACCAAAATTTTAAAAACCCACAAAACTAACAAAGGCTAGAGGTTCCTAACTTGGGACAGGCTCATAAATGCGGCGGAGTTAAACATGTTCTGTGATATCTCAACCCTCCCCTATATGCATTGTACCTCTTACCAATGTGGAATAAACAAACACACAGCAATATGTACAGTAAACCGCATATTGACAATGATGAACATAAATTAACAAAGGACTACTAGCAGTTACTGACATGCCAGCTCAGGACCTCAATTAAACTGATCGAAAGATTATGTCTTCATCATATGAAAATCAAACACAATCATAGTTCTTTTTTATTTCAGTAAATGGGAACTATGTTACAGAGTGAAGAAATTGTGATAACGCCATTTGAACATCAAGTCGGGGGACATAAAGTTGTTCTACAAATTTCGAAAAACTTAATTTGTAAACCTAGAGAGGACTCTGAGGTTGAATTCTATCGTCGACTACCAGATCATTTAAAAGAATGTGTTCCGCGTTTCAAAGGTAACATTCATATTTAATATGTTTAAGATCGTGTAAAGATCAAAATGTCTTTTTTTCAGTCTGACGTCCAGTGGCAAACATTTCATGTATATTAAATACAAGAACAAATCAGCAAAGTGGGTCAATCAGGATAAAGGGTTGGGAATCTAGACTGACACTGGAAAAAGAGGGTGTTTTGGATAAGGACAGAAATTTTGCCTTACGAAAAATCGGTTTAAGAGTTGGTACAAAGGTTTTTGAACGTGTTTTATCGTTGTTGTTCAAATCAACAATATATATATCTTAAAACAGTTAATAGAATATACAGACCACCATCTATGATCTAAAACATCTTCACCGTTACTCTATATATTTATCAATTCGTATTCATTCTGAAAAATACCAAAGAAGTGAAACACTATACTCTTGTAAACGATCATGTAGTAAAACTTCTTATGCATACTTATGAGTGTAAAGTGGTATAACTTTTTGAACCACACATGAAAGCGACATCTGTGCGACTCGGCATTCAAATTGTATTGCAATAAAGTATCCATACAGACATCTGCATTTTATGAAACCTATACCATGAATAACCCAAAATGTTGACTGCATGGCATATAGAAATGTGGTAATTCCTTGATCTGTATAGGTGGCCTGTTTAAATTTCTAATTCTGCCCTCTATCCAACTTACCCTCATTTGCAGTCTAAATTTCAAACCCTTCATATATGACGACCCACTTTGCAGAACCTATACCTATTGCATTAATTGATATTTTTTCTCATCCTTGATATTTATGAAGTATTTGCCACTGAACGAAACACCAATCAACATTTGCACACAAGAGTCATTTGGCCCACCTTTCAAAACAACTAAAAGAAACAAGCCCGAGAAGTATGAGGAGTATCTCTTGAACAACGGCATAACAGCGATACAATATTTTTTTAAATGCAAATTTTATATGACTGAAACTATCAATTGACTCCTTACATCATGTACATTTGAAAAACAATAAGCCATTTATCTTAATTTCATTTGAACGCATTCGCTTCATTCATGACAATTGGAAGTAGATAGTTTGTTTCTGGAAAACAAATCTGATCCTTTAAAAGGTTAAAATAAGTTTCAAAACGGCATATTTTAGCTAGGTACGCGATCCGACCATAAGTGGCTTCTTGTTTATTGTATGTATCTCTTTTGTCTTATATTAAAATTCCGGTTAATCTGCTATACTTACAGGTGAAATTCAAGTGCAATATGTAGAAAATGATTCTGGTTTCCAGCTACGTACAAAACTGCCAATGAATTTGCAACAAGATTTTCAGAATGAATCCGACATGCAAATGGACAATCATTGTATAAACGTTAAATCAAAGTTGTCTGCACGTGATATTATTCAGTTAGAACATTCATCAAGTGATAGCCTGACGCGAACGTCTGAGGCAAATATCAAAAGGTAAGTAATTCGAACTTTGACAACAAGAATACATACAAGTACTTATACACTTCGCGTATCGTAGTATTTATAAAATAGGAAGATTGCCAATGAGAAAACTATCCAAACACAGTATAAATGAAGCGGATTTAATCAATTATATGTCACCGTACGGTCTTCAACAACTAGCAAAACCCATACTGTATACTAGTAGTCAACTATAAATGACCCGACAGGACAAAATGTAAAACAATTCAAATAAAAACCAACAAAAGAAACGAAAAAACAAATATGTCAGACAGCAACCTGACTTGGGACATGCACATATAGAATGTGACTGGGTAAAACATGTTTGCGATCGTTCAATCCCACCTAACATATGACAGCGGTGACGTAACATCATAATATAAGAACAAACTGTACAAATCAGTTGGAAATGGCTTGACTCATCATATCGGCACGAAGCACAAAACAAACATAGACAAAAGACCCAGATCTAAGAGTACTGGAAGTTACGGAAAGCTAGTTCAAAGACAAAAACTAATAAATAAATCATATTTTCCCCGACTAAATTTGTCGATTAACAGCTGAAACAATGAAAACGAACCTTTTAAATATGAATTAAAAGCAAGAATATGCTGCATGCCAAGCCTATATCCGTGTTAAATTTCATCACGGAACATTTACTGCCAAACCGTCAGAAGCAAAAGGTGTATAAATAAAGATTTGACTAGCCTACGACAAATGATGCAGAAATGCGAGATATATGTGACACGGCGGCGACAACGGCGTTAACTATTTGTATCAAGTTTAATATTCAAGAATGTAAGTGACCTGCATACTTCATATCGTGTGTACAGATGCCTTTTGTTCTCAGGTTTCCGTCCGTTGACCTTAACGTCATTTTCATGTTTCCGCGACTGCTTAAATAAACTATAGTTGTTTTTTTTTGTATGCGACAGAATGATAAACATATGGATGCTAATCTGGCGGCGGCGTTAACCATTTGTATAAATCTGGTTTTTTTTCAGAAGGTAGATGACCTTGATACTTCATATTAATTGTTTACAGATGCCTTGTATGACGAAGTTTCTGTCTGGCATACGTCATTTGTCCGTGACCTCATTTTCATGGTTCAATAACTGCTAAATAACTGGAGGTTTATTCACGCGATTTTTTACTTGTTATTAGTGATAGGACATCTATATTTGTTTATAGGATTATTGTAAGGTTAACATGTCCGTCTGGCAGGGTTCATCTGAACTTGACCTCATTTCATAGATCAGAGATCAAGGTTGAGTTTTTGCAGTCAAGTCCTTCTTAGATATTAGTACTATAAGCAATATGTCAACTAAAATGGTCATAAGATGTATTTGTTAGTCTGGCATTTTTCATCTTACCTTGTCCTCATTTATGATGAAAAGACACAGGCACTTGTTTCTATCCATGGGAAGCCCCACTATCAACGTATATTTACGAGAAGGTACCCAACTACTTTTTTCAACTCTCCGCTGAAAATCATTATTTCTCTGTCAATTCATTCTCAAATTTCTTGTTTCATACATCATTCTATTCGTGAAAAGTTTTTCTTTCAGATGGTATGCATTGTATTTACCCTTACAGTACCCCTTACCTCCAATACACAATCTTTGTCAATAAATTTGCATGAGTTCATTTTTAGTCCTCCTACAAAATACAACAAGTTCCGGTTTAAAGCATCAAATTTCAATATTGCTAGTGATTGGTCGGTTCATAGGTCATAGGGTCATTCAAAAATAGAAGGTTATTAGAAAGGGAAAGTGAAAGTAATATTGTATGATAACAACATGGTTTTGACAAAAACTCAAAAAGAAGTCCTTAACAAGGCAAATGAGGGACATTCTATGGTTTTACTAGGCCAAAGTGGGACAGGGAAAAGCTTTTTAATTAAAGAAATTTCAAAACAGTTAAAAAAAGAAGGGAAAAATGTATCAGTGACAGCGTCAACAGGAATAGCTTCTTTGAACGTAAATGGCCAGACTATACACTCGTGGTCCGGAATAAAGGACGGTAGATTTTCAAATCAGGAACTAGAAGATAAACTTAATAAAAATGAACACTATATACAGTACAAGCAAAATATTTTATCCACTGATTGCCTAATAATTGATGAGATTTCCATGATATCAAAGAAAATATTTGAGCAAATAGAAAGTATATGTAGAAAAATATTAAAAAATGATAAGTTATTTGGAGGCATACAGGTCATTGTAGTGGGGGACTTTTTTCAACTGCCGCCTGTCCCCGATCATTTAAAAAATGATGCTGGGGAATACTGCTTTAAGTCATCAACTTTTCAACAATTATTTAAACATAAATTTATACTGACTGAAGTTATACGCCAAACTCAGCCTGATTTTATCCAAGCCATTAATGATATTGCCAGAGGAGAGCTCCAAACTGAAACCGAGCATTTGTTAAACAGACTACGCCGCCCTTTACCTCCTGGTCCAGAACCTATCAGATTGTGCGCCAGAAATTTTGACTGTTACATATTTAATGCCACAAAATTAATGGATCTACCAGGGGATTATACTGTATATAATTCAATTGATGAAGGGCAAATTTCCAAACTGGACAAAAGTCCAGTAACGAAACAGCTGCACTTAAAAATTGGATGTCCTGTAATGCTTTTAAAGAATTTGAATGAAAAGCTAGTGAATGGTTTACGGGGTATTGTGTCATCATTGTCTAGTAAGTGTGTTACTATAAATTTCACAGGGCTGAATGGGGAAATCTTGACAGCTAATTTGAAAGCTGAAACATTTTTGGTATTCAGTTGTAATGAAAATAGGGTCATTGCTTCGAGACAACAAATACCTATCTGTCTGGCCTACAGCATTACCATTCACAAAGCACAGGGCCTAACATTACAAAGGGTTGAGGTTGATGCTTCAAACATTTTTGCGCCTGGCCAGCTGGGGGTTGCTATAGGGAGGGCTACAGAGAAGAAAGGACTGAGAGTCATTGGATTTAATAGGTCATCAGTCCTTAAGCATGAAGCCAGCTTGTATCAGTTTTATGATGCAAGTAACAATAATGAATTTGATAATTCTGGGAAACTTACTTGTTGTAAAATTGTATTCAATAATACAGAAGGGAATTCTGTGGACACTATTGAAAATTCAAATTCGGATGACGAATTATCAGATTTTAGTGATGGGGAAATTGAGGAAATAGATTTTTTATTGTCTAAAGATACTGATATAACTGAGCCATGTGAACCAGATCAGATTCAAGAACTCTTTATAGACTTGACAGAAATATCAGCACTTTTCTCAGACTTGAATACAGCACCAATTGATAAGTTAGTAAATGAACATTATAAAAATAATTTTGAAAACGTCTCAAGTACATTGAAGACATTTGTTAACAATTTATATTCGAAAATAAGCACAATTTTTGATGAGACTTGTGGTAATATTTCAGAGAAATCAATCGAGCCTAAAGTATGGACAAAATATTATACTGAAGTCTATCAGTATTCAGTTTCATCTGAGTATGTTGGTCTTGCTAAGTCACTTTTTCAAAATGAACCATCTTCACTAGATTTTCAGCTGTGTAGCAAAATTTTTGATAAAGTAACATCAGCTGTTTTAAAAAAGCATGCGGATACCATAACATCGCAGGAAAAATGCATTTCCTCTTCAAACGAAATGTCAGATTCTGGGAAAGGAAAATTAAGGTACATTTTTGGAAGATGCATCGCTAAATGTCGTTATCACATTATGAAACAGGCCTTGAACAACATCTACAAAAAAAGTAACCGACATAATTCGTCAAAATTATTCTTAAAAGTTAAAATGCTAGACTCTCTAACTGCAAGATATTCAGAATTAGAAGTTTCATCAAAGTACAAGGACACCCTATACCAAACACAAAGGAAGCAAAATCTTTCTCAGGGTTTAACAAACATTGGTGATAAAACATTTCAATTTGCCATAGAACTGGAAAAAAAAAGGTTTTCAATCCAAACTGATCAGTCGTTCAATTTATATGGGGCTGGAATACTTAATTATACTCATGGGGAACTCTTGAAAAACAAGCCATTATTTGAACTGTGGAAGAACCTATTCTGTGATTTTGAAATAGTTGAAAGTATTTTTATGGTCTGTAGTCAGGATTCAGAACAGTGTTTGATTGAGCTATATACTGATGTTGTTCTTAGATTCTGCAGAATCTCAGACAATGAATTTCGAAAAGGAATCCTACGCCAATTTGGGAAAACTAAAACTGAACGATTGCGAAAAAAAGTTGATAGCAAAGTGAGCACATCAGGAACACTTACTATGAAAAACATTTATGGTGATAAGTCTCAAGGTAAAGTAAGCTCACATTTAAAACTAAAATCATTGGTTTTTGATTCTTCAAAGTCTGCTTTTAGTAATTTTGTAAAGAATGATCTCTTGAAACTGTGCCATGCCTATGCCATTCAAATAGCTTCAAATTCAACAAATGACAAAATAAAAGACAAATTATGTTCCGTGTTAAGTTCTGCATTAGAAATTCCTTTTCCTGAATATTTAAATGAATCTGGGCCTACAAAATCACCACCAACTGATCAAACACTTGATTCAACACAAACAATTGTACAGTCAGTACCTGATGTCAGTGATGTGCAAGTGCCTTCTACATCTGGACAATCAGAAGTGACAATAAAAGCTAAACCAAAGCTAAAGAGAAAACGAAAAAAATCAAAACTTGTTACAAAAACTAAAAAAAGGAAAAACAATAATGAAAATTCAGGGGAGAAAGACACCATATGTCCTTTATGTCAACGAATATATGTTGACGGCGATGAATGGATTGCCTGTGACATTTGTGATGTATGGTATGACAGACAGTGTCTTGATTTAAGTGATAGTCAGTGGAGTGAAATTGAAGGGGATGACTGGTATTGTCCAAAATGCAAAAAATAATTTTGTTATAAAATTCATTTCTTGCAGAATTTGTTATATTACTTTCTGATGGTTGACCTTACA